ATGGTTTGCTGCTGTCTGTTTGGACCTTTCTGAACATGTGCAGCAAATGGACTGATCCAATATGGTGGACACTGAGGGGGGGGCTGAGACACACTTAATATTATCAGCGTGCTGATGGCATTTTAGCAAAAGGATTTTTATCAAAAACATAATTAATGTGCAGAAATAAGGAATAGTTGGATTAACCATACATGGAAACAGAATAAAATTGGGCCGCCAGGAACTTGGGGCCCCAAGCAGCAGCCTAGTCTTGCCTAATGGTAAATCCCCACCCTGCAGCATCAGGTTTTGCCGTCTGTCTGCGGAGATGTTCATATTTCTACTTCATGTAGAGACAGACGGCGGGCGGTCAGTTTAGGAGCAGTGGTCGGACTCACAATGTCTTAGTGGTGTAGAGCAGCCCGCTGGGGGCTCCTGCAGGCGGATCCCAGGTCAGGATCAGGTTCAGGTTCCTGGAACTCAGCCGGACGTTGGTTGGACTGCTGAGGTTTCCAGATTCCACTGCATAGATCCAGGAACAAAGTTAGGAACCAGACTGGACAGGAATGTCGGGCCTTTCTACTAACCTTTACTGGAGTAACTTTATGAAACACAACGTACTTTTAGAAGTAGTTTAACTAAGCTGTACTTCTGCTTTTACTGGAGTAAACAATATGAAGTTCTGCTAATTTTACTTTGAGTAAAATATTTTGGCTACTTCAACCACCATAAATAACTGCATTGATTGAATAACAAAGAAAAAGTACGGAAGAGGATTAGGGCCACTGAAAAAAAAAATTAAATGAGTTTTAAATTTAATTTCAGTTTTAAAAATTCTGAGATTAAAGAAAGAATTCTGAGAAAAAAGTCAGAATTCTGACTTTTTTCCCATGTTAAACTGAAATAAAATTTAAAAATCAGTTAACTTTTTTCTTTTTTTTTCAGTGGCCCTAATCCTAAAAAAGTGATTTCATTTAAATCAAAATCTCTTTTCCATGATGCACCTGATTCCAGAAAACAACACATTTGCATTAATTTCCATAAAAATCAATAAAATGAATTAAAATTGTACAACCTTCCCCAAACAATAATAAAATAAAATTGTTTTGGATATGATGGGTTTAAGCAGAATTTGGGTTTTTAATCGACGGGAAAATGTTTTTATGGTAATTTTTGAGTTTTCAAAATAGAAATAAACAGTTTTTATAAAAATAACTTGTTCTATGTGGGATCAGAGGGTTTTTCTATCAGCTCAGAACATCTAAAAGTCACGTCGTTGGACTGTGGGAGGAAGCTGGAGTAACTGGAGAGAACCCACACATGCAGACGGAGACCTCCATTAGAAAGACCCTGTGCAGCTCAGAGGCTAAAGTTTAAAAACTTTTTCTCTCTTTCCCTGTTTCTATAGCAACCAAAGCAACAGTCACAGAAAGCAGCAAGAGCAAAAAGAAAAGGAACGCAGATACCAAAAAACAAAAAAACAAAAAGCAGTAGTGGTCCAAACCACTAGGGGGCGTTAAATCGAGAGGGCGCTAAAGACAAACCCGCTAATATTAACTGCTTTAAAATACTTTTAGATAATATTTCCAAAGATTAATACTAACTGTTTATGATAAACACATGACTGTATTTCCTTCAACCTTTCATCTGATCACCAGGGGCGCAGCCAGAAAATGTTTATAAGGGCGGCCAGGCAATAACCAATGTACACTGAGGGGGGCCGAAAGCGGATAGAACCTCAGGCCTTAGATGAGAATAACTATACTTTCCCACAGCCTTTACTAACATATAGACGCATATATTTATACATCTGTGCTTCTAGATAATAAGTATAGTTGATAAAATACTTTCAGGTTTGAATTCTGGGGCAAACATCTTTTCCATTGTCATTACTTACCTACTTTTATCGATAATCATTCTGCATAAAATTGATATTTACAAGACCTAATATCTACATAAATCGATTATTTAATACATTTTTTATCAAAATAGTTATTTATCTATTGTTTCACTCGACTCCTAGATGACTTGCAGAGACGCATCATTTACTCTTTACTCCATTTAACAAAATCTAGTTCTAAAAAGAGCATGAATTCTGCACTTGTCATCTTTATTGTTACTATATTGATGTATTTAATTAACCGCAGAGTTTCTGTTGTCAAGAAATTATGAATACATGAAAAAATAGTGAGTAATATATGAAAAATTAAAATGAACATTCCACTTGAGAGTTTTACTGCTGCCACTACGGAAGAGGATTAGGGCCACTAAAAAAAAAGTTAACTGATTTTGAAATTTTATTTCAGTTTAACATGGGACTTTAATCTCAGAATTCTGACTTTAATCTCAGAATTGTGGATCTTAATGTAGATGGGCACCATGAAGGAAGAGATGTTGGAGCACTCAGCTTCACTGACAAAGATGTGAGTTGTTTGAGGTGGCCAGTGACACATTGGAAGAAAATGACGGAATTAGGCAACTTTTTACGTGCCCGAGGGGTCGCCTCATTAATGGAGGAGCAGAAGGCCATTAAAACAAGAGAGTTAGTCTCTAAAACAGACATGGCTACGGCTTGATGCTAACATGTTTGTTAGCTGTCAGTCTCTAAAACAGACATGGCTACGGCTTGATGCTAACATGTTTGTTAGCTGTCAGAATTCTGAGAAAAAAGTCAGAATTGTGAGATTAAACTGAAATAAAATTTAAAATCAGTTAACTATTTTTTTTCCAGTGGCCCTAATCCTCTTCCGTATGCCACCATCTGTATTAGAGAGGAAAAATGGTAGAGGTGGCCCCCTCATCTAGCTCCGCCCCTGCTGTCACCACAGCTCTGTTTTGCTGCGCTTTTGCCCCTGCCGGCCACCGTATCTTCTTTTAACCTAACAAACTTTATTACACTGTAATTAATTCCTCCAGCAGGACTTATATTCACTTCAGCGCTTATTTTTTAAATTTAATTGTGTTTTTTAAAGTTTACTAAAGAAATTCTTGACAATGAAACGATTCCTTTTAAATATTTAAACAACTCTGGTTTATCTAAACTTCACTGTCTTTCTTTCCTCTGAGAATTAAACAGAATAAAACTTTTAATCATAAAGAGGAACAAAAGCCTTTGATGTGAATCGGAACCGCTAACTTCCTTCATGTTATCCTCAGATTAATGACTCACAGAAAGCAGACATATTTACCTGCGTTTAGAGCACAAACCATCAGCAGGAGAACCAGGAGAGCCGCTGACATGTTGATCCGAAAGGTCCGCCACGCGCCGCTCCTCTACCCAGAGCCCCCAGTCCTCCCAGTCCTCCCAGTACCGTTTAAAGCTTTTCATCCACTTTCTGTTCCCTTTCAGGAGCCGTGGCTGGGGAAGTACGCGGAAACTAAAAACAGCAGTTCTGCGCAGAGACGTCTATGGCCGTTGGACTTCAGGGAAACGTGACGTCATCGGTGGCTCGGTTGCATTCAGCTTCGTTTACAGTAAGCCTTACGGTAAATGTAAAATTATTGTGACTAGACCCTTATGTATTTCTTTTTAAAAGGAAGCAACTACTTATTTTTCTACATTGTCCTCCTCCAATAATAAAAATGTACAACATAAAACTATAACTTTAAAGTATTTATGTAATCCCTTTACATGCTTCTATTCACTACTGCTATTTTTACTTTTATTTAATTACTTTTTATTTTATTTTTTTTTTCTTTTGCTCAAACTCACTGAAAATTGTACTTCTTTCTGTATTATAAAACTTTTTCTAATAAAGTTTATTAAAAAAAAAAAAAAAAAAAAAGTAAGCCTTACGGTAAAATATCAAAATAAGAGCCTTCCCTTTCAAAATAAAATCTGGATTTTTTTTTATTTTTATTTTTTATCTACACAGGGCCTTAACTACGGAAGTGGATTGGGGCCACTGAAAAAAAAAGAAAGTTAACAGATTTTTAACTTTTATTTCAGTGTAATATGAGAAAAAAAGTCAGAATTCTGACTTTAATCTCAGAATTTATACTTTTTTTCTCAGAATTCTGACTTTAATCTCAAAATCACTGCTGCTTAGATTAGATTAGATTAGATGAGCTTTATTGATCTCACAGCGGAGAAATTCACCGGTCACATATTGGCATAGAAGTTACAGAAAGTGCAAACAAGGAGAAAAAAGGTGCATTAAGAATAAACAATATATATACAGTATATCAAGATAAATTAGGATTAGGGTGGAAGTGGTGCAGTGGTGCAAGCTTACCTGCATTTAAAAAAATGAAATAGTCTAGGGAGCTGTACTAAATTTCTTTTTGTTTACACTTGTGTGTAAAAAATGACAAAATAAAATTTGTCTAAGTCTCAGAATTCTGGCTTTTCTCAGTCAGAATTCTGAGATTAAATTCAGCATTCTGACTTTTTTCTCATATTATACTGAAATAAATGTTTAAAATCAGTTAACTTTTTATTTTTTTTCAGCGGTCCTAATCCTCTTCCAAAAAGTTAGTTTATTTCAAAACAAAACCTGAAATGAAAAAGAGGTGAATATCAAAACTATTTTTATTTATTTGGAATCAGAATCAGCTTTTATGCAACAAGTAATTTGACTCCAATTTTACAGCCTCGCAGTGAAGAAACATTAAGAATGGCAACACTGGTTATCATAATTTTTTAAAAAGTGTGAATTTTATCTTTATGAGTAATTTTAATTCAAAGCTCACATCCATTCTACTCCTTGTGTCTACAGGACTTCCCTCCTATTACCGCTGAGCATGCTGGGGGTTTATTTGAAAATATTGCCAGAGCTTTTTCAGTATTTTCTTGGGAAATGTCTATTATTTCATGTTGGAAAGCAGATATGACACAATTTTGAATTTATTTTCAAACTTGGCTATTTTGGTTCTACATACAGTTGTGATTTTTTTAACACATTTTTTTTGCTGCTTGTTACGTTCAAAAATGTAGGTTCATAAAAGAGAAACTGAGTCGACACAGAATAGGAATTTTTGGCTTCTGCAGAAGGAGAGAGCCGCGTTCAGCTACATCTACTCTCTGACTGACTTCTTCTGCAAAGCCTTTTTATTAGCAGATCATAACACATGGGGTGGGCTACAAAATAGACTGTTCTTCTGACAACGCAATTGATCAGGTCATAGGACAAAATGCTCCTCTGATTGAATCACAGAATAGGGTGCCACATTTCTGGCTTCAAATATAAAGATGTAAAATTGTAATTTTTTTGTGAAGAATCAACAATCGAGAAACAATCATGAAGTGGAACGAAATTTATTGGATATTTTACTGTTTTAACAAATAAAAAACTGAAAAGTGGGGCATACAAATTGAATTGGCTGCTTTACTTTCGGTGCAGCAATCTCTCTCCAGAATTTCAGTGAGGATCTCTGAATGATCCAATGTTGACCTAAATGACTGATAAGCATAAATAAAATCCATCTGTGTGGAATCAAGTCTCTGTATAAATGCACCTGCTCTGTGATCATCTCAGAGGTCAGTTCAAAGATCAGAGAGCATGGTGACGAGAAGTTTAAAGCTGGATTTTTAAAAAAGATTTCCCAAGCTTTAAATATCCCAAGGAGCACTGAACAAGCGATAATATAGAAATGGAAGGAGTATCAGACCACTGCATATCTACAACAACAACAATCGGCCATATACTGCACACTTTATGGAGGAAAGTCCTTTCCTAAAGAGATCCATAAAAAGTCTGGTTTAAAGTTTCCTACAATTCAACCTGGGAGATAAAGCAAACAGGTGGAAGAAGGTGCTCTGATCAGATTAAAAACAAAATCCAACTTTTTGGCAACAATGCAAAACGTTAGGAACTCTGAAAAGAACCTGAAGGAAGATAAAAAGTTACAATAAGAAGAGATTTACTGGCTTTGCAATTTGGATGAGGGAAACTGCTCCATCCCTTCCTGCACCTGATGCAGGCAGGAGAAAAGATGCTGCTGTCTTTTCCTCCATCATGCCTCTGCTAGTGATACCAAAAAGTGAAAATAATCACTCTTCCTACAGATGATATTGTCTCTGGGAAGAGCTTGGATAACAAACAGACAAAAACAGTCCTTCAGTGTGTGTCCTGGACCAGCTAATCTTAAAAGCCAGGATGGATTTTTCAATAAAAAGAAAAATCCTCGTATCTTTAAAAAAAAAAAGGTGAAAAGGGGCTACAGTAAGTGTGAGGGACCGAGCCAGCCAAGCATGAGGACACAGTGGTGATTGTCAAGAAACTGGGTTTTATTTCCCCAAAGTAATAATAATCCAAACAAAGGTTTCAGGGCCCTTAAAAGAAGTCAAATCAAGAGATTAACTAAGGGCAAAAAATATAAAGCTCAAACTAACTAAACAAACAAAAACTGACCTGACACACAGCAAACAAAGGGGACTTAAATGCTGGCCGATCAGACCAGACTGACACACTGAGGAAGAGGTAGGGAGAACATCTACAGCAATTTAACAAAAAATAACTAAACAGTTAGCTTAAGGATTAAACTTAAATGGCAATCATTAAACTAATTAACAAAATTAGCAAATCACAAAAGCAAGAAGAAGAAATTATGCAACATATTTAAAATGTGGAGTCCATGGTCTCCCCCCATAGTGGAACTCAAGATGGTACGACCCAATCAGTCCATGATTATGTCAGCCACATTCTCCCAATTGAAGGCGCTCCATGTAACCATCACAGTAAGAGCTGAAAACAGGTGCAAAATTTTTTTCATGGACAATAAACTGATTTAGCACACTCAAACTTAAAGGCATACTATGCAACATTTTTCAGTTAATGTGTTCCATAACATTTTGGATGATTAAATGAGTCATTTCAGGTCGAACAAAGGTTTTC